GACTGGGGGGATGGGGGGATGGGAGGCTGGGGGGCTGGGGAGCTGGGGGCTGGGGGGCTGGGGGGCTGGGGGGCTGGGCTGCTTGTTTGAGTCACCTTGTGATAGCCTGGTAGGCAGGACGAAGTACTCCAGCCTGCTTCTTAGTTCTGGAAGTGGGGACAGCACCAGCACTTCCACCACGTCCGACACGGGGAGGGACACCGTGGATATCTGCAGAATGTCTTTGTTCGTCTCTGGAAGAAATGGGGCTCTGGTTGACTTTTTTTTTAATTACTTATTTATTTTATGTATATATGTTCTTGTCTGCATGTACATCTGCCAGAAAGAGGGCATTAGATCTCATGACAGTTATGAGATGGCTGTGAGCCACCATGTGGGTGCTGGGAATTGAACTCAGGACCTTTGGAAGAGTAGAGAGTAGCCTGTTCTCTTAACCACTGAGCCATCTCTCCAGCCCCCATCTCTGGTTGACTTTAAAGGCTCTGGCGTCATTCTCATTAAGATATAATTCTACTTTTCCCTAATTCTCAGCATGGTCTTTTGTTAATATTTAATATTTTACACACACACACACACACCCCAAGTTGTATTTTCCTATGTCAAAACAGGGACACTGTTCTTCACCCCATGTCACGAGCCATTTCCCCCCTAAAAATTATTACAGGAACCATCACCCTGGGGAGTCTGCAGGGAACTTCACACCCATAATTATGTTCTATTGACAGAACCTGCCCCACACCCAATTAACTGTTATCTGTTAGCGGAACGCGCCTCACATTCCAGCTATCCAGGGAACCAGGTGTGGCAACTCGTGACTTCTTGGCCTACCTGTCCGAACGTCCTGGCCTACGTGACGAACCTGAACCACGTGACCTGGAACACGCGGCAAGAATCTCGTTTCCCTACCCTTCAGGAGCTATATAAGCAGCAACCATGATCCTAATAAAGGGGGCTTTGACAAATCTGCTTGACCTCCTTCTTCTGTCCTAGCTCATTCTTCCCTTCCAGGTAGCGCCCCTTCGAGACCCTGGAATAACTGATTGCAGGGTGGGTTACAAACCCCTAGACTGAGTAACCCACCCAATGCAATCGACAACCCCATCTCTAGTAGCATATTTTATTAACTGATTTTTACAGTGACATTTAAGCGAGAGCTATGGGACATTTCTAAAGAACTGCTAGGGCTTTTTTTCTGATTAGATGTCTGAATGGCATTTTCCAGACAGGAGGGTTTAGACCTTCTTGTGTCCAACAGTCTGCCATCTTTGCTCCTCTCATCTGCACCCTGTGTGCCCATGACCTGGCTCTTTCAACAGCTGTGCCAGCCAGTTCCAGGGCTCTTACAGTGGGCAGCCTCACACACTGGCACTCTTGGCGTCACTACCTGTGTAGTGGAATTGCACCTGGTTCTGAGTTTGGTGCTCGGGACACCCTGCTCACTGACTGGGCCATGCCTCATTTCCCTCTCACCTGACACTGGGCAGTGAGGCCAGTTTCCTCCTCTCTGCAAGGCATGCAACAGTGTGTCTTCTGTCTTCCAGAACAAGATTCAACTGAATGACCTTATCCTAGATCTTCTCTCTCCTCTCTCTCTCTCTCTCTCTCTCTCTCTCTCTCTCTCTCTCTCTCTCTTCTCTCTTCTCTCTTCCCTCTTCCCTCTTCCCTCTTCCCTCTTCCCTCTTCCCTCTTCTCTCTCTCTCCTCTCTCCTCTCTCTCTCTCTCTCCTCTCTCTCTTCTCTCTTCTCTCTCTCTCTCTCTCTCTCTCTCTCTCTCTCTCTCTCTCTCTCATTTATTTCCATCATCTCCCTTCATCTCCTGGCATCTCTGGGACGCCAGGGTCAGCCTCGGGTCCCCTCTGTGATTCTGAACTCAAGACAGCAGACACACCACCAACCACTGCTTTTCATCTCCTTGTATCGTTTTTGAAGCCTTCTCTCCTTCCTGCGAGCGGCCCCGCCTTCAGCCGGGGACTTTCCTTGCTCTGACAGTTTTCACATAATCTTTCAGTCTCTAAATTTACTGCGTCATCTTGCCATGCACCGACTCCCTCCGCTTTCTTGTCCATTCCCTCCCTGACCCATCTGTCTGTCTTTCAGGACCCCTGCTGACCGAGCAACACGCTGGGGACTCCTGAGCCTGCCTAACTCACACTCATTCGAATTTTCACCCCTTCTGTCTTCCTTGAGCTGTTTCTGGAAGGATGGTGCTGGCCCCTCACTGCTTGGAAAATCCTGGGTTTTCCTCTCTGCCTTCACATTCTGCTTGCGGTTTCAGTGAGAGGTGAGGAGGATTTCTGTTGGATTCCCAGCTTTTCTTCTCCTTATAATTTCAAAATGTTCAGACTAATTAATTCAGTACTAATTAATTCAGTAGCTGATATAAGACCATCAGTTGCATACCAGACAACTCTAATATTCCAAATTTCTCTAAATACAATATGGGGATTTAATTTCTATTTGAAGTATTCTTTTTCAGAAAAGTATGACATATGTAATTGTTTTGCTATAATTCAGAATTTTAGCTTTGAATTCTTTGACAAAAAGTGACCTAAAATTTAGACAAACAGGTGTGCTCTAGGGCATACCAGTGTATCCGAAAATCTTAAACGAGCTCGAGGGTCTGGCATCAATAACAAAGATGTTCCCTTCGACTGTACCGGCCAACAGGAAAACTCCTCGCTGGTCATAGCTAGGAGAGAAGAAATCCAATGTCAAGGCCACATTTGCTTCATCAGCTGGGGGGGGGGGGTGAGCTTGCAGGATGCTGGACCACAGAAGCACCAAAGCGGCCACTCTTACAATGCGTGGCTTTTACTTATGTATTCATTTATTCTATGATGCTGCGGTGGGACTGATGTAGTCTTTGAATCATTTCTGCTTCCTATAAGTGTTGTTCCTTTTGGAAACTACAGCTCCCAGACTCCTCCTGGATTACGGATACCTGTGCACGTGGGCGTGCACAGGTGCAGGTCATTTCTCCCAGATAACCTTGCGCTTCCTGTTAAAAAGCGAGCTTCCACGAGGTCTCGCTCTCTCTCTTGCCCTTTACCCTTGTGTATCTTGCACACCTGTCCCTTATCGTGTCCCCCTCCCCCCATTAAAGTGCACCCACGTGGGAGCCGCGTGTCTTGTCTCCTCCTTTTGCGCGTGTCTCGTCTATCCTGTGTTCGTCTACACACCCACCCACTTTTAAAAGAATAATATTTTGGTGGTAACCCTCATCCATAGTCCTGAAAGAAATGCTGCTGGTTGGGTTTTTGCTTGTTTGTTTGGTCAACTTGACACAAGCCAGGGCCATCTGGGAAGAGAGAACTCAACTGAGGAAATGACAATATCAGACTGGTCTGTGGGGGCATTTTCTCCATTAATGATTTGTGCGGGAGGGCCAAATCCACTGTGGGTGGCGTTATCACTGGGCAGATAATTCAAAGCTGTATAAGATAGCAGACAGAGCAAGCCAGTGAGTGGCATTTCTCCACTGTTTCACCTCCTGCTTCTATTTTCAGTAAAGAAAAAGTAGAAAGAAAAAAGAAGAAACAATAATTGTAACAAAACATGAGACTATGACATCTTTAAGAAAATGGGTGGAACTGGAAACCCTTCCGTTAAACCAAATAGGCCAGACTCAGAAAAACAAATACCACACGCTTCATCTCATAAACAGATTCTAGACTTTAGAGTGTGTGTGTGTGTGTGTGTGTGTGTGTGTGTGTGTGTGATGAGACTAGAAGAGTCCATAAGAGGGAAGAGGGATCCTAAGGAGGGGAGGAAAAGGAGGCAATAATGAAACATGAAAGCAGAAAACAGATCTTGAGGGGCAGCAAAAGGGGGACGGGAAAACGGGAGCAGAACACAGGTGGTGAATGACAATCAAGTATGAAAAAGTCAGCACAAATCTCATTACTCTCCATAATAATGTAAAAAACAGTAGAAATACCTTTGAGAATATTGCTTCAAAGGATTTGGAGTAATTTGAATGTCCATTGGGGTACTACTGTTAGAAAATGACGAGGCGTGCATGTATAATGGGGCTTCACACTACCAGACAGAAGAATGAGGCTGGCCTTTGATGTGGATGCTGAACATTTCCCAGTGGGGCTGGGGAGACAGCTCAGTTGATAAAGTGCTTGTCCCTCAAGCATGAAGACCAGAGTTCGAGCCCCAGAACCTGCCTGACAGAAAGCTGTAGTGGCCTCTGTATATGATCTCAGGACCAAGCCACCTAGCCTAGCCCAATCAGTGAGTTTCAGGCCCAGTGAGAGAACCCATCCCCCCACCCCAAACAAGGTGGATGGCATCTGAGGAAATACCTAAGGTTGGCCTCTGGCCAGCATGCTTGCTTGCACACCTTCGTGCGCCCTCACACAAGAGCACACACTCCAGCCTCTCTCATTATTTGGCGACCATGTAAGTGAACAGAAATACTGGTCTTCATGCTTATTTGCGGATAAAAATGTCTTTGTGAAGAGCGACATCGGAACGCGGTAATAGGCTGCTCCTGGGAGCAAGCTGCATGTGAGGCACTGTCTACTATACGTGCCTTTGTACTTTCCAAACGCTGAACCGAGTGAACGTTCAAAATAAGTGAAATGTGTGGAACTGAGAAAGCAAGGCTGCATCGCTGGAGCCCCGGTCCAGAACGCCTGGTGACAGCGTGGCCGCGAAGGAGATGCTTACGTCAAGATCTTCACTGGTGACTCGGAGAGGAAGAGCCTGTGAATCACCCGAGGGGCCTCCACGTTGTGGACGTCCAGGAAGTATAGATAGCCATCCACTGTCCCCACGACAGCCGACGCGGAGGAAGGGGAGCATGCTAGAGTTGTTGCCTGTTTAAGATAAACCCCAGAGAATGAGGCCTGCCCCACGTACAAGGCACGTACCAGGCGGGGATGTGACTCAGGTCTGCAGCGTCAGCTCTTAGCGTGGCTCCAGGCCCTCCGTTTCATCCTCCGCCCTGCCCTGCCCCACCCCACCTCAAATGCTTAGAATTTTTAAGACCTTGAAAGCTTGTAATGGTACTTATTTCTTTTCAGAAAGTCAGCATTCCTGAATCCGACTAACTGCGTAAGCAACCACGGGAATATCTCGGAGGTATTTTATGCTAAAACTAGAATGATGAAACCTAAAGAGAAAACTAAGCTGCGGGGTCACAGGGAAACACGGGGTCCCTAGTGTCTCGGAAACATGGTGTGCACTTAAAGACTCTAAGTCTCATCTACAGAAGGATGCAGAGTTGGACTCAGAAACCCAAGGACATTTGTATTGGGGTTTGAGAAAGAAAAAAAGAGGGCAAGCCAGACGGGGATTTGTTGGCTATTGTGAGGGCAAAGACAAATAAGATAGAGTTGGGGACAGGCTGGTGATAGTGTCCAGATGACTCTTGGAACAGAGCTGTCTTCTAACCTAGTGAGTTTTTTTTTTTTTTTTTGGCGTGAGTTTGTGGGTGCAATGTGTGAGCATGTGTGAGAGTTTCCATACATCTGCACTGTACATGTGTGCATGTGTAGACCAAACGTGGTTATTAGCTTTCTTCCTCGATTGCTCTCCACCTTATACACTGAGGTGGGGTCTCTTGCTTGAACCCAGAACTTGCTGACTCAGCTCGTCCAGCCTGACCGTTTGCTCCCCCGGGGCCCGTTTCTGCCTCCCACACACCGGGAGCACAAGTGCCCATCACACCTGCACAGCATTTACATAGGCACTGGAGGTCCTGGTTCTTGTGCCCGCACCGCAGGCATTTTAACTACCATGCCTTTGCCCCTCCTTCCCCCAGAATGTGCCTTTAGCGGCTCCCATCAGTGTGCTCTTATTATTACATATTAATTGAAACCTTAACACGTCTACAGACTGTGTGTTTGTGTGTGTGTGTGCGTGTGTGTGCACACACATGTGGGTATGTGATTCTCCTCAAATAAACAACTGAAACTCTCCTCCATTCTAGAGCTATAGTGACCGACTCTACATAGCAGTAGCCAAGGGAGTCTTAGGTCCTCTCACAGGGGACTGCAAGGGAAGTTCCTGCAGTATGGGCCTCTAGTGATGATGGCGCTGGGTTGGAGAACCCACGGAGAACCGCTGTCTAAAGTGTTCACATAGAAACAGCCATGGCAGAGGCAGAAACGTGACGTCAGCATCACTGGGGCTGTCTAACGATCACGTCTCTGTAGTGTGGTGGGATCTGCCATAAGAAAAGACCCATGTCTTCTGAGCAGAAGCTGGACCACAGCCATGTATCAGCCTGGCTTGGAGTTCAGTGAAGGTTGGCCAAGACCTTCTGACAGTGGCTGTATTTCGCCTTGTCTAAGAGGAGCAAGGTGAATCCTGGTTACACAGCCTCCTGGGGGTATTGTTAGACACTTGCTTCTTGTCTGCGAACAGAGACTGTTGTTAGCTCTAAAGGTTCTACCAGAAATTTATACATATAAGCCTTTGTCACACAGATTATGCAGATTATTTTGATTTCATGGCTTTTAGACAAGACTTTTAATTGTTACATTTCTGGGAGGGAAGGTATCATTTATTTATTTTTTTGCAACTTGTAACATTCTATGGCATGATACTAAATATCATATCTTATATAATTGATAGACATAAGTCTTTTATAATTGAGATTTTTAAATTTGTAGGAGCGAAGGGCTGGAATTTCCCTACCTTCTAAGGTACAATGGAAAAATATCCAGTACTTTTGTTATTTATTAGGTCTTCACAGCTTTTCACATTATTTTTATGCAAAATGCACTGTGGATTGTGCAGGAGTGATGCATAGTGCGCAATGTGCCATGGGTGTTTACCAGCTAGCATCTAGATGACTTCCTTCTATAAGAGCCTTGAATGTCCACCGAGAAGCCCCTTCCCATCCTTTCTAGGGCTCTGTGGGGGTGAATGGGACCCAGTTTCAGGGCTGAGCTTATGTTGAATAGCATTGCTCATCCTTTTGTTCACAGGGACTACTCCTTAGAAGACTCTTCGGGACCTTCAGAGAAAGGGAGCTTCTGCTGTCTCCATCCTCCTCCTGTGGGATGCGAGGTTGGCACTGTGCCAGGTGGGTATGACTAAATCGGGGCTTTGTCAACTCTGACTCTGTATGGGTGAAACAACGCAGTGGCGAGGGTTTCCACGGGCCACTAAGATGCGAGACAGGAAGGTGAGTGGTATCAGAATAAATATTTTAAAAACTCATTTATCGGGTACACTTACGGGAGTTCCCAGCAAAACCTTGCTTGCACAAGTGCAATCCTCTATCCACAAAATAGCAACTTCCCCTGAATTTGTGAGCGTCTGCGGGAGAAAGAAAGGTAACAGAACTGTTAGACTCTGCGACGGAAGCACGTGCTAATCGACTAGTAGTTAGCCTGGGGAGGGGTCAGTTAAAAGCTTTGCTGCCCGTGCAGGTTATTAATAATTCATAAATTCAACTCAATTCTTATTTTCGGAAGAAATGTTAACTGTTACCTTTTAAAAAATCATCCTGTTTTCTTCTCTCTCTCCCCCTCTCTCTGGCTCCCTGAAACATATATAACCCAGGCTAGGCTTGAACTCCCAGTCCCCCTGTGAAATATTCCTCTCCACTATGTGAATATACGTCACTGTGGTTTAATAAAGGAGCTGACAGGCTTATAGCTAGACAGGATAGGTGGGGGAACCGAACTAAGAGAACTCTGGGGAGAAGAGAGGCAGAGTCTCGGGAGTCAGGAAGATATCATGAGATGCTGAGCGAGCAGGATGGGAAGTAGGTAATGAGGTAAACAAACAAGCCTTGGGGCAGCGCATTGATTAACAGAAATGGGTTAAGTTATAAGAGCTGGCTGAAAATAAGCCTAAGCTATTGACCAAGCATTTATAATTAATATTAAGTTTCTGTGTAGTTATGTGGGAGTGAGCTGACTGGATGGAAATCTCTGCCTACAACCCTCTGCCTCCCTTCCCATATGCTAGGATTACAGGCACAAACTATCATACGTGGGGTCCTTTTGTGTTTTTAAAACGATTATCTTCAGCAGTTGAGGGGCAAAGGGAGGTGGATCTCTGTGAATTTGAGGCCAGCCTGGTCTGCACTACATAGTTCCCCACCAGCCAGGGCTACAAAGTAAAGATACATTCAGTGGGCACTTGCTACCAAGGCTGATGAGATAAATTTGATCCAGGGACCCACATGGTGGATGGAGATGACCAACTTCCACAAACTGTCCTCTGATGCCCTCATGGGAGGGCATGCATGTGCATACACACACATATACTCTCACACATGCAAGCACACAGATAATGTAATAAATAATTAAAATGTAAGAAATAAAATAAGTTATTTTTAACATAATTTTTATTGATTCTTTAGGAATTTCCCGTTATGTACCCCAATCCTGCTAATTTCTTAGTCCTTCCATATCCACCCTTACCCTAGCTTATCCCAAAGAAAAATTTAAAAAGTATTAACTGAAAATAAATCAAACCCAATGAACAAAAAAAACCCCACTTTGCTCCTCCATCTTTCCCACCTCTCCAACACGTCTTTGTTCATCTTAGTGGCCCTGGGAGCCATTTCATGCAGCGTGGACCCTCTTGTCCATTCAGCTTTACTTGCGAATGTTCACTGCAATGAGTTGTTGGTCTGGCCAAGGCCTCTGTCTTCCGGCACACCATCAGTAATGGACCCTTGCTTAAACTCCTCTCAAAGATCCTGCTGTTGCTCCTAGTCATGGAGATCCTGCGGCTACGGTCCTACAGAACCTGTCCCTTCATGCACTCACGCAGGTCATGGATGGGGTAGATGCTGGGGTGGGCCAACCCCAAGTCCTGGATGTGGATCTGGGTGGTAGCTGATCTGGCCAGTCCGGGTCCCTGGGACCACGCCCCTCAGGCGAGGGGCAGAGTCAGCTCTTCAGTGTCCATGCCACCGGGGCCAGCTCTCCCATGCCCATAGTGAGGGGTGGGGCCCTCTCCAGTGTGGGGCCAGTTCTGCCCTGAGAGGCAGGACCACCTCTTGCAGGGCCAGCGAAGGGAGGTGCCCGTTCAGCACAGCCCTTAGATTTCAACAGGCATAGTTCCTTTGGCTTCCTGCAGTAATAGGAGCCACAGACAGCAACACAGACCCTGGCTGCCATCGGGCTATGGACACAGGCATGGCCCTCAGCTGCAGCCTGGGCCTAGATGTCACCATGGCCCAGACGGAAGCAGGCACCCACATCAGCCTGTTCCTCACCACCTTTGTTTCTTCAGCTCTACTGAATGAGCCCATCTGCTTCTCTTTCCCAGTTCTTCACCATGCGTTCGCTCGTCATAATCACGTCTCCCTGCTCAGCACCTTGCGGGGCCAGACGGGCCTGGGGAAGTCTTCAGCCCACACAGCGCTGTGAGAACCCAGGCAGGCCAAAACAAATTATCTTTAATAGGATTTAAATAACACAACTAGGTAAAGAAAAAGTAAAATAAGGAACTAGAAAAATATGGCTTAGTGGTTAAGAGCACTGGCTGCTCTTCCTGAGGACTCAGGTTTGATTCCCAACATCCACATGGCAGTTTACGACCCTCTGTAACTCCAGTCCCAAGGGATCTGATGTCCTCTTTTGCCTTTGCAGGCACCAGGCACATATGTGTGCACAATCACATGTGCAGGTAAAACACTCACACACATAAAAATAAAAGTAAAGTAAAATATTTTCACGATGATCATATCTCAAATAAAAATCCCCCGGAAACTCAATGGGATCATTGCCTAATGATAATGATTAAGCCTATCAACAGGAAATTATATGTTGTTCTTTTAAAATTCTTTGACTTTTAGAGCACTCTTAGGACTATAGACGTTTTGAGCCGCGGATCCCCCGCCCACAGACACACCGAGTTCTCTGTGGTTCACAGCTTTTGTCAGAGTGGAACATGGGCTACAGCAAATATGTCCAGACTGATAGTTACCGGGTATTGTCCATAGCTTACATCAGGGCGCCTTCCGTCTCTGTGCTGCTCATTCTGAGAGTTTTGACAAGTTTGTAATGGCAGGCATTACAGCACTGTACAACAGAAGACGGCGTCTGTCTTAAAAATAGTCTCCTCCTGTCTATTCCTGGCCTCCCTCCCCACACTCCCGACAACCGCTGATCATTTTTACTGCTTTGCTTTTTCCAGAATATCCTGTTAGAGTCATAGAACATGTAGGGTTTCCCACACTGGCTTCTTTCGCTTAGCACTATACATTTATGGCCCCTCCAAGTCTTTTGGCGGCTTGACAGCCTTATTTCTCTTATTGCCGAGCAACAGCATATTGTGTGACTGCTCCACGGTCTCTCCATCCACTGGGGGAACGGCACCTCAGTTGTTTCCCGAGTCTGGGCCATGGTGAACAACGCTGCTATAAACACTCGCATGCAGCTTATTTTTGGATGGCATTATGTTTTCAGCCCGTTTGGATAAATACGAAGAGGTATAACCACCAGGGCATATGGTGTCTGACTACTGTTGAAAGAAACTGACAAAACAGCTTCCAAATTGGCCATACCTACGTGCAGTGAATGAGCGCTTCAGCTGCTCTGCAGCTCCCTGTCATTGCCAACATTTTAGATTTTAGACATTCTAATAGTCTTACTGAAACTTCTTATGCCATGTTTTGCTGATATCCATGGGAGGCCTGCTCTTTTCTGAAATAGAGAGTAGGGGAATGTGGTGGGGGAGAAAGAAGGGTTGGATGAGGGGCTTGGGGCTGGGAGGGGATACTGCCATCTGATTGAGATGTAAAATAAATAAATAAAAGTGAACAATTTTGCTCATAAATGGCAAAAAATAAGCATGAATAGACTCCACACTAAAGAAGACATATGGACAGAAATAAGTATATGAGAAGAAGCCGGGAACATCATCCGTAGGAAATTGTATGTTGGAGCAATGAGCTGTCACTGCCTGTTAGGATGTCTAAAATCTAAAATGACACGTGGTTTGCTCTTCTTCGTGTGGTGTTTTCTCTGGCTTAGGTGTCAAAGGAAAGCCTTGAAGGATGAGTTAGGAAGGATTTCTTCTGCTTAGAACTTCTAAATGACATTGTGGAGAAGTGGAATTGTTTTTTCCCTTATCCATCTGGTTCCAGAACTTCCATTTTTGGAATGTTACTATTAATCCAATGTCTTTGACATCGGGCTTTAGAATATCTCTTTCTTTGAGTGTGGGTTCTGAAAAACTCTGCCTATCAAAGACTCAGTCTAAAGATACTCAGTTCCTGTGGATAGAAATTTAAGCCGTGAAACACAACAACTTTGATCCTTTAGTTCCCCAGGAGACCATTTCTTACCAGGAAATGTTTGGTTCCAGGTGTGATGAAGTCCATTGCCTGGACTTTCCCATCACAGGCTTCTAGGACTTTATCTAGCGCTGGCTCTGCACCAAATGTGTAGGTATAAACAGTTCCCTGAAAAAGCCACACCAAGAAAAGAAAACATATAATAAATGTATATGTCATTAATTCAGTGGCCACTGTGAGCAACAAACACACTGTTTGGGACTAGATGATGGGAAATCATGACCTAAACAAGGTCACTGAGGAGCTTAAAATATAGAGATCTTACTTATTAATTTAAATGAGCAAATGACTGAATCAATAATACAACAAGAATCAAACGTGGGAGATAAGGTCAGGGATGGGATACGGAGTCTATGTTGTGAAGGGTCATTTAAAACATGGTGTTTTGGGTATTTACCCAGAATGAGAAACCACCATGGGCTATGAGTGACTAAGAGAAATGCTCTGTCTGTATCAACTGCTGTGCCAAAAACACATTGTTCATCCCACCACACACGGAGGATACATTGTTCATCCCATCACACACGGAGGATACATTGTCCATCCCATCACACATAGAGAACATGTTGTTCATTCCATCACACATAGAGAACACGTTGTTCATCCCACCACACACAGAGGATACATTGTTCATCCCATCACACACGGAGGATACATTGTCCATCCCATCACACATAGAGAACATGTTGTTCATTCCATCACACATAGAGAACACGTTGTTCATTCCATCACACATAGAGAACATGTTGTTCATTCCATCA